GGGTGTTATGCACAAACAATGAATCATGGAACACTGCATCAAAAACTAATGATGTAATGTATGGTGGTTAACATAACAATAAAAAATAAAAAAAATGTTGTGAGAAGAAGCTCGTAAGAACCTGCCTTGATTTGCCCTCATTTGGTGTTTGTGGAAGCAACTCCATAGACCGTAACTACTGCAAATAATGAGAATAGACTGTGTCCGAAAATAAAATTAGTATTTAACTGGGCTTTCTGTATTTTAACTGGCAACTCTATCTGGGCCTTTATAGAAAATTTTATTGCTTTCTGCTCTATGCTATTGTTTTTTTGGGGGGGGCAGGAGTTAGAGGTTTATTATCAGTCTATGTGAGACTAAGTACTCTATGCTATTGTTAATTATCCTTCAAAAACCCAATCATATTTTCTGGTAACCCCCATATTTGCACAGAATTCAAAGTCCTTCATGTCTTGACTCCTGCTTTTCTCCCACCCTCATCTCTTTCCCCACTCCCCTCAGAGGCTCTAAACTAGCCTTTCTGTCTGACCTGCGACCTCTCCTCTCCATGTGGAGGCAGAGCGTGCAGTTCACTCTGCCTCCACATCAGCGCCGCAGTCTGCCTGGCATGCCTCACTTGGTGCTGAGGACACTGCTCAGTGTCACCTCCTCTGGGAAGCAAGCAATCCCCAAATCCCTAGAATGAGTCAGCCGCCTCATCAGAGCGCAGCAATGCTAATTAGGCCCCCTCCTCTCTCTTTTCCTTTTCAGAGAAATGCCGAGGACCTTGCATCCCTGCTTCCAACTGCAGCCAGCCCTGTGCTCAGCCCTTTCATGGAGAAATAAGGTTTACATGTCATCAAAACAAGTGGCAAAAATCAACTGAAACATGTACAAGCCTTTCTGTGGAAACACTCTTTAAGGTGACACATTTGCATATTATTGGCTTCCAGGGCTAATTTCCCAGGAGATGGTAGAGGCGTTTTCCTGTGTTCTGTTCGGCGCAACAATCTCAGATCTAGATTTGGGAAAATGGCAGAGTGGGTGAAATTTGTCTCTTCTCCTTCCTTCCTTACCCAAATTCTCAGACACTCTCCACCCCCCAACTCTCTCTCCCTCTCAGCATCTTTTCTTAAAAATAGATCTGAAACTCATTCACGCAATGGTAAATGCTTTGAGGTTGAAGTTTGAGCTCTGAAGATGGATTTGTGTGTACCTTTGTCTGATTAGTGAACTCTAAACTTCTTGAAATTGCAATTTAGTATTCTTTGAACTGCCAGCCTCCAAATCCACCCCCCCCCCACAAATTCCATGAGACTCCCCTTTCAAAAAATTAAAATAAGTAGACAGATTTTGATTTTAGCATTTCTCCACATCTCTGGAGAACTCTGTCTTGTTATCACACTTGAGTTAAAACCACTGTCCTGAAAGCAATATGTCAGCATGCTGATCTCAGTGGGAATTTTGGTGGAACTTCTCATTTGTGTGTGACTCCATCTTACTCTTTCTGTCCTTCTTGGCAACTAAACCCCTTTTAGGACTACTTGCTTCTGTGTTTTCCCCACGTGGTATATTGGTGCCTTAGCTCCTTTACTCTGACATATGTTGGGTACTTAATCATTTTTTAACGAATTTTTTTTTTTTAAGCAGGACTTCAATAGTGCCTCACGCCTTTCTCTAGCAGCATCATCCATACCCGTGCACGTTCTTGACTTTCGAGTGCCAGAGCCCGTGGAGAGTGTAGCTCAAGGAATCCGCAGGAACTGTCCAATTGATTATGCCTGCATACTCGATGTTGTGAAATCATCAGAAGCCACGTCTGGAAACATTGCATTTATAGTGCAGTTACTAAGAAATATTTCTACAGATTTGTCTGATAATGTTACCCAAGAGAAAATGAAGGTATTCTTTGATAATTTCGTTAAAAAAACTGACAGATTTCCTTTTTTTTTTTTTTTAAACCAAATCTTGCCTTTTGACAGTTTCAAATGTACTTTTCAGGGTCCAAAATATGACAGCCCCAACAACCGTAACAACAAGGATAGGCCCTTTATTTCACTTTTGCATATTGATTCACTCTAGTTTATGTAAGTTTTCAAGAAGTTAGCACATTTTTAATACATGTTTTTGTACAGACTTACTATTTTCAAGAAAATGTCCCAAAAAGGATGGCTGTGAGCAAGACTGTGTCTACTCCAGTGTCGCCCAAATTTCATTCTGTAGAATGTAATTATTTGGAGAAATGTTAATGGAGGCTCCATTTCTAAAAGGGAGATCTGTACCTAGCAGATGTAGGAATTCTGGGTTAAACAACGTTAAGCAGGTTTCCTTCCGGCAGGACTTTTTATTTTTTTAAACGTTTTGCTTTTTTTTTTTTAAGATTTTATTTATTTATTTGAGAGAGAGAGAATGAGAGATAGCACGAGAGAGAAGAGGGTCAGAGGGAGAAGCAGACCCCCTGCCGAGCAGGGAGCCCGATGCAGGACTCGATCCCGGGACTCCAGGATCATGACCTGAGCCGAAGGCAGTCGCTTAACCAACTGAGCCACCCAGGCGCCCTCTGGCAGGGCTTTTTAAAGTTTTTCACGTGTTAATGAGGTTTGACCCTCTTTATAAAAGGGGGGGTTATAGAAATACAGTATGCAGTATTTCTCAAACTTAGGTTTTTATAGAATCTACCCCCAATTCCCTCCATTAGACAATCATTAATATCGCATGAGAATCTTGGGTTATAAAGACTGTGGTTTCGAAATGCTGCCCCGGGGCCCATAATAAAGCAGGTAAACTTTACCTATGATTTTTATTTTATTTTAATCATTGTTTTACTTTACTTCCCTCTCTGAAGGACTCATCTCTCAGCATGAGATTCTAATAAACAGTGAATTTGAAGAGCAATATGTCAAATAAGATCCGATCACTTGATCTTCAGAAATTGCAGGTTTTAGAAATTGACTTTCTACAATAATGTGTAAATCCTTAGCATAATTTCCATTTTTTCTCCATTGCAGAGTTATAGTGAAGTGGCCAACCACATCCTTGACACAGCAGCCATTTCAAATTGGGCTTTCATTCCAGACAAAAATACCAGCTCGGATTTGTTGCAGTCAGTGAATCTGTTTGCAAGGCAACTCCGCCTCCACAATGAATCTGAGAACCTTGCGGATGAACTCTTCATTCAGGCAAAAGGGCTTCGCATCAACCACAATACCTCAGAGGAAAAGTTCAATTTCTCTGCAAGCATGAACAGTACAACAGAGGGTATCTTAGGAATGATAGAAATTCCTAGGCAAGAGCTGTGGAACCTGCCACCAAATGCATCCCAAGCCATCAGCATAGCCTTTCCCACCTTGGGGGCCATACTGAAGGAAGTCCACTTGCAAAATGTGAGTCTTCCTAGACCTGTAAATGGTCTCGTTCTTTCAGTGATTTTGCCAGAAGGATTGAAGCAAGTCTTATTCACCTTCGAGAAGATCAACAAATCCCGGAGTGCCAGGGCACAGTGTGTTGGCTGGCACTCGAGGAAAAGGAGGTGGGATGAGGATGCCTGTGAAACCACGTTGGAGATCATGAACAAAGTGAAATGCTTGTGTAACTACACCAACATGGTGATGTCCTTTTCCATTCTAATGTCCCCCAAATCTATAGACAACAAAGTCCTGGACTACATCACCTGCATTGGGCTCAGCATCTCCATCTTTAGCCTGATTCTTTGCCTGATCGTCGAAGCCGCGGTGTGGTCCCGGGTGGTTGTGACGGAGATATCATACATACGTCACGTGTGCATCGTGAACATAGCCGTGTCGCTCCTGATGGCTAATGTGTGGTTCATCATAAACTCTAACTTTCACAAAAAGGCCCAGAACTCCAACTGGTGTGTTGCACTGACATTTTTCAGCCACTTTTTCTACCTCTCTCTGTTTTTCTGGATGTTCTTCCAAGCACTGCTCATCATCTATGGAATATTGGTTGTTTTCCGTAGGATGATGAAATCCCGCATGATGGCCATTGGCTTTGCCGTTGGCTATGGGTGCCCGTTGGTCATTGCTGGCACTACAGTTGCTGTCACAGTGCCAGAGAAAGGCTACATGAGACCCGATGCCTGTTGGCTTAACTGGGACAATACCAAAGCCCTTTTAGCATTTGCCGTCCCAGCCTTAGTCATTGTGGCCGTGAATCTTGTGGTGGTTTTGGTTGTTGCTGTCAACACTCAGAGGCCCTCTATTGGCAGTTCTAAGTCTCAGGATCTGGCCATAATTATGAGGATCAGCAAAAATGTTGCCATCCTCACCCCACTGCTGGGACTGACCTGGGGTTTTGGAGTAGCTACACTTCTAGAAGGCACTTCCTTGGTATTCCATATAATCTTTGCCCTTCTCAATGCTTTCCAGGTAAGTACCAAGAGAGAGAGACTTATTTTATTTGTTAATATTATTAATTAGTATTTTATTTGTAAGATATTACTTTTATTTTATAATTCGCTATTCTGGCTATATGACAAAAAAATGGCTATGATTGAAAAATACAGAATACAAAATGTGCCTTTCATTTCTTTCCATGTCTTAGAGATATTCAGCTGTGGCATCTCTCATCCTATTGATTGTCAAGTTGGATTTAGCTGATCAGGCTGCCTGGGTGGGAACCTCTTTCCTTCTCTCCTCAACTGATCCACCTGTGTCCCTCTTAAAGTTTCAGTGTCAGAAGAAGATTACCTTCACTTATAGAGGACCAGTCTTTGGTCAAAGATGTGTGAGTCTATACTCACATGGTATGCCTCAAAACAAAGAAGTTTTTATCCTTTCTCAAGCAATTTGGGAACTCAGTGAAATAATCATTTTCCATAGTATGACGAGACAGGACCTGCCTTTCTCTTTGAATGTTAACCAGGTGGGAGTTCTCATGGCTCTTTCCTGTGAAATAAATCTTGGTTGTTCTTCATTGAAATGGATCTTTTTTTTTTTTTTAAAGATTTTATTTACTTATTTGAGAGAGAGAGAGTGAGAGAGAGAGCCCAAGAGGGGGTAGGGTTAGAGGGAGAAGCAGATTCCCTGCTCAGCAGGGAGCCCGATGTGGGACTCGATCCCGGGATTCCGGGATCATGACCTGAGCCGAAGGCAGTCGCTTAACCAACTAAGCCACCCAGGCGCCCCATTGAAATGGATCTTGCTGCATGTTGCCTGATCCTAGAAATGTCACTTTTCTCTGGGCCTCACGCATCTCCTTAGTAAGATAAAGATACGAATCTGAGATCATCTCTCTTTTCTTTTCTTTTCTTGTTCTACCATACTTGGTTTGGCAAAATTATCCCTCTAATAGTTGCTCTACTCTCTGTTGGCTACTGAACTTGTACTTTTGGGAAGCTGTCACTAGCCAGACTGCTTTCCATACCTATGAGTAATAGCAAGTTTGGCAGGTTCATATCCTTAATTGTGCTTTTAATCAGGGGTTGGCAAACTCCAGCCTGCTGCCTGTTTTTGTAAATAGTTTTCCTGGAATAAAGCCATACTCATTCGTTTACATTTTGCCTATGGTTGCTTTTGAGCTACGATGGCAAAGTTGAGCAGTTCTAACAGAAACTGTGTAGCCCGCAAAGCCAAAAATACTTATTATCTGGTTCTTCACACACACAAAAAATTCCCAAGCACTGCTTTACATATATAAATATAACTGCTTAGTAAAGCAGCAATGTATTCCTATTAACGTGTCACTATTACTCTATTTAAAAATGTGGTACAAAATACAAAACAGACTTTTAAGAAATGTCAGCTCAGATCAATTATATATCTTACTCATACTTCTTTAATAACTATGGAGAACATTTATTTCATGCTTTGCCTTGCATGGCTTTAAAGAGAAACATTTGACTTATGGTTGTTGTTGGTTTTTTGTTTTTTGTTTTGTTTTTTGATCAAAAGCTCTTGGACTGACATAAATCTCCCCGACTTTTGAAGTTACTTTGGTGACTAATGATCTCATTCTATTCTTTTTAATTTTTACTTTGCAACTTAATTAAACCCCAGAAAGTTTTATTCTGTTTCTTTTCCGAATCACCTCTTTTTCTCTCTTCTTGATAGAAAGAAAAATACTGAAACACTTTTAGTTAAATACACTCCAACTTTTCTCAGCAAGCTTTCCCTGTGACTCACATTTAAAAATTTCCGTCTTCTGATTAGCGTTTCTCTGCCATGAGACTATCCTTGGAAACCCAGCCTTCCTTCCACTCTCACAGCAAGATCCAGAATTTTCTTAAACTTCAACTTCCACCATTTAAAAAGATTGGCTATCGATTATTGTGACTTTATAGGTAACCAAATAATTTAAACTTGAAGAGACTCTGGTCTTTTAGATCTCTGTAGTTTTCTCTCTTTTATGCATAAACTTATTTTACCAGCTCAGAGACCCTGCTGTTTCATGACTTTTAACCCCAACTGAAAGTGAACTATAATAACAGGCTTCACTTCTCAAGAAACCTTCCATGATTGTCACTTTGAGCTACAGGATTCCATGTCATGTTATGTCACGTTACTGTTATGATGAGTAAGAACAACTACTTAATATTTGGAAAGAAAGTAAACAGATGTGATAAGGTGGAGAAACACCATCCTATGTCTGCAGCCTTTCAATAAATATCAATAACTGTCATGCACAGGAATGAAGATGACCCTCTTTCTTTGAGATACAGTCACAGTAAATACTTGCCAAAGCATTTTCTCTGAATCAGTAGAAGCTGAAGTTTCTAATACCCAATAACTGTCCTTGAAGATATCTAGAAGAGTGGTATTAAAATTACAGTCGGGATGTTGTCTGCCAAACCATCCCTCATACTTCTGTTGAATTTTGCCATAGGGGTTCTTCATCTTGCTGTTTGGAACCATTATGGACCACAAGGTAATTTGAATTTGTTTCTCTCATTGTAAAGATTTCCATGTGGCTCAGGGTAGGCGGGGGATGAAGCAGTTTTGATCAGAAAGCCTGGTCCATGGGGGTGGTGAGTTTATGGGGGTGCTTTAGGCATCAGCTGAGAGGAGGAAAGGAGAGAACTCTACTCTCTCATTTGTTGACTTAAGTCAACAGGAGGCTGTGTGTGAGTGTATCTAAAAGAATGAAAACCATACCGGAATTTTAATTTTAATTTTAATCCTAAATCTAATTATAATAGCCAGAATTTTAATTTTAATCCTAAATGGAATTATAACTACACCTCAACTTTTATCCAAGACTTATTATTGGCTAAGCACTGTGCTAAGCCATCTGATGCTGCTTCTGCCAGGGGTAGTGGTCTCGAAGTTTCAAGACATGGGTTTGGGTTTGGGGGATGTTGTCATTTCTTCACTGTCATTGTTTCTTCAGATAAGAGATGCTTTGAAGATGAGGATGTCTTCACTGAAGGGGAGATCCAGGGCAGGAGAGGTAAGCCCTCCCTTTCAGTCTTAATACTGAAAGGTCAGTGTCCTCAGCAGAGTCATGCAGAGACAAATATTGTAGCTTAGTATTCAGAATTTGTTAGCAAAGAATTCTTAGGGTATACAGTCATTCCTTCATTTCTTCACTCAAATTTAGAGTATCCCGCTAAAGCTTAAGGTCAGTAGAATATACGTCTCAAGAGAATTTTCTACCTTGGATGTATTTCAACTTGATATCTGGACTATTGAGATGGGACAACATGAAACCAGGATCCTAGACTCATAAAACAGAGCTGGGAAACGAGAGATGAGTTAGAAATGAGATTCTAGGCCAACCTAGTTATTTCATAGGTAAGGAAATCAAGGCCCAGAGTACCTATCAGATTTGCCTGAAGCCACCCAGATAATCATGAGAATTCGCATTCTCCTTGCTCAGAACTCTTTTCAGTAAACCCTATTCTTGGATTGAAGTATATGTATACATATTGATCTTGACGATGACTTTGACCAGCTATCCGTCTTTTAAGGTACCGACTGAAATTGCCATCATTGCCATATTAACACAGTCATTTACTCAACCAACAGTTTCTCAATAAAAACTACTTTCTTAAAAATCAACAAACAAAACATTTTCTGAACACATTGAGAGTCAGCATTTACGGTTAGCTAGTATTGGGCATGACTTTTGGTACCCTAGTTCATCAATGCTAAGATAGGCATTTTCTTTACCTTTTAACATTTCTGAAATCGGAATGTATCTTAAAATCAGTGTCATGTCATGATTTAATTGGCAAGTTTTTTCTTTCTTTTTCTTAGTGGAACATAAAAATAATGATGCAGGGGCGCCTGGGTGGCTCAGTCGTTAAGCGTCTGCCTTCGGCTCAGGTCATGATCCCAGGGTCCTGGGATCGAGCCCCGCATCGGGCTCCCTGCTCCACGGGAAGCCTGCTTCTCCCTCTCCCGCTCCCCCTTCTTGTGTTCCCTCTCTCGCTGTGTCTCTCTCTGTCAAATAAATAAATAAATAAATAAATAAATCTTTAAAAAAAAATAATGATGCAGCTAACAATGTTAGGTTCAATGAAATATAATTTAATTCTGTGTAGCTGTGTCATTTTGAATGCTTCTTTTCATGTTCCCATTTTTACGTGTTTATCTCTGGGCAGCCGTATACATAAATATAAATGCATTTTTTGTCAATGACATTACTTACTGACATCACTGTTACTTTTTTTTTTCCATTTAGAATGCATCTTTAAGCCCAACCAATGGATCTAAATTAATGAATCGTTGAAGATGAGATGTGAGTATTAAAAACTGAAGGAGAATCTTCGCTTTCAAGTTGTGACAAACTCCTTAATGCCCCTTGTGAGCACACTAGTGCCTATGGTGTGATGCAGGAGTGAGGTGGGGAGGGAACAGGTGGATATATCTGTCAGAGATTAGAAACTTCTTTATTGCCCAGTGCATAAATGAAAATATGCACATCTTTAAAACCATGTCATCTCAGTATGTCCAAATCTTTTTTAAAAAAACTTTTGTTTAAATTCCAGTTAGTTAACATACAATGTAATATTAGTCTCAGGTGTGCAATAGAGTGATTCAACACTTCCATACATCACCCAGTGCTCATCACAGGTGCACTCCTTCATCCCCATCACATATTTCACCCATCCCCCTGCCCACCTCCCTCTGGTCGCCATCATTTGGTTCTCTATAGTTAAAAGTCTGCTTCTTGGTTTGCCTCCCTCTCTCTTTTATCCACCTTTGCTCATTTGTTTTGTTTCTTAAATTCCACATATGGGTGAAATCATACGCTATTTGTCTTTCTCTGACTGACTTATTCACTTAGCATAATACTCTCTAGCTCCATCCATGTCATTGAAAATGGCAAAATTTCATTCTTTTTTATGACTAATATATATATATATTATATATCACTTCTTTTTTATCCATTCCTCAGTCAATGGAAACTTGAGCTGTTTCCATAATTGAGCTACTGTACATAATGCTGCTATAAACATTGGGGTGCAATACATCCCTTTGAGTTAGTATTTTTTGTTCTTATATGACCAAATCTTAAGCATACTTTTCTTTCCTCAGTGAGAGGATGATGTCATCACATCTACACTGATAGGGTATACACCCTTGCTGTCTATAGCACTTACACACCCTAATTCCATCTTGTCAGTGAGTGGTGACACTTATAATAGACTCCTTGTTGAGAAGGAAGACTTAATTGATTGAAATCACAAAGCAACAAGCCTGTCTCTCCATAATGAAGTTGGAGCCCAGAATCATCCCTAAGGGGGTGTGGGTAGAATTGTAGCGAGTTAGCTGCCTAACAGCCAACCTCTGAGACATATTTCTACACAGATGAAATTAGGAGAAAACAAGTATTAGGCATCTGTGAAGGGGAGATTAGTACCAAAATGGCAGCCGGGAGCCTGAGAGCTGGTAGGGAGATGTGGGCAGGGGTGATCAATTTTAGTATGGTTTTGTCTTGGAGAGTTTTCTTGGCCTTTGTACATGGATATAGATGAGTCTCAGAGTCAGGGCCGAGTAGCGAACAATGGGCAAAGCAGAGAGTTGAAAGAATCTCATGGAATCAAAGACATTCTGAGTTGGTAGAACTCTTGGGGGACCCGCTGTGTTAGAAACAGATCCTACAAACCTCATGTTGTGCTGTTGCGGGACATTGTTTCATGGTCCCGGGGCAAGGGAGGGAAAGGTAGAGGGCTTTGTCATACACACTGACTGGCATGTGTGGGGTGCTGGGAAAACACCAGCATATTATCCTCAATTAATCATCCTCTCACATTTGGGTTTTTATATTAGATTTTTAAAAGGGGGGAGGAGGGATATCGTAGTTCTTTAAAAGGGTTAACTCTCCCACCTCTGCCCATTTTCTAGTCCATAGAGCTCCTCCATAGTGGAACATCACTATAACATCTCTTGATGAGTCACTCATCAAGAGGTAATTCAGATGACCTGTGCAAGCTGCCCTTTCCATTAAGGTCCCAGTTTGACCTGCTTTAGGAAGTTTGTCAGGTGGAGGAGACTCTGCCTCCTGGGGATACTAAATCTAGCCATTCTAGAGAAGAGAGGCAGGGTTGAAGTCTAATCTCCAGCTATTTGGGCGTACCTGGGTGGCTGTAGTAAAAACTGGAGAAGACCCGTAGACCCAAGGATCTGGACTACACTCCTTCCTGTGATTGGGGAGGTGCACAAAGCTTTGACAGGCACTTGGGGGAAAGTGTAGGAAGGAGGTGGGAGCGTACTAACAACTCCCCAAAGAAATCCTCACCAGGTGGTTCTTCAGCTTCTATTTTTGAACCTGTGAGATGGGGGATGAACTGAGGGTTGCATTTTTTTCAGCGTATCCTTCGTAGGTGACCCTGTGCCTGCTGAATTTTCTCAGTAATTGGAGCTGTGCTTTTTACATCTGGACGCACGTGGAACCAGAAGGATCAGGAACAGCAGCTGACACCGGGGCAGACCATGTTAGGGGGGCTACAAGTTAGATATCAGGGATACGAAATTCACTCTAAGTGAATGGAGACCTAGCAGCACCAGGGAGGTCTTTCAGCAGAGAGAGAGAAGGGCTCCAGCCGTGGGTCAAGATCAGAATTACAGCTCAGCAACATGGGGTGTTTGGTAGCTCAAGGCAGGGCTAACCCACAAGGAAAGGGCAGTATTTCAGACCTTAAATCAGAGCACAGAATTGAAGACTGATGGGGTCTGAGGAGATAGGCAGAATTCCATTTGTGAGACAGGGGGCGGGAGTTCAGAATTGGACTTGCAGAGACTTGAGACCCTGAGCGTGGGTGGAAGCTCCTCATATCCCAGTGACCTGAGGTTTGATGGCTCTTAGAAACAAGGTTTGGAAAGGTTTGTCAGGAGGTCTTGAGATCAGGGAAGGACTGCAGAGATATGAAAACCCAGCAGTTTGCTTCCGGTACAGATTCTAATTGGGGGAATCCCATTCTGGAGACAGAGGAGGGAGGGAGAGAGCGGGCATACTTATTATGAAGCCACAGCTGCACAGCGCCCTCTGCTGTTCATATGAAGGGCGGGCCTTTACTCTGACGCAAACAGCCTGTTTTCCCCAGGGTTATTCCAGTGTCACCAGGAAGTCTCTTCAGTTCCTGTAAAATCCCTTCCACATATTTGTTTATGCCTGAACTCACCTCCAAGGATGCAGAACTCTTCATTCCACAGTGAGACATGAGACTGAGCAAATGCCACGAGAGGAGCAACACGGTTTTCTATGTAAGGTTGTAAGTTCAGAGGAGCAGTCATTCTAGAGGCCAAGCTTAGGCAGCCGAAGAGGGAGAGAGGGCTCTGAGCATCGAGTTTAGGGCTGAGGGAGCAGCATGGAGAAGGTAGAGGGCACAGAAAAAGGAAGCTGGGAGAATAGCCTTCCTAATGTGTGACTTTGAGGGGATCGCTCAATGCCTCTGTGCCTCTGTTCCTTCATCTGTGAAATGGGGCTAATAATCGTACATACCTCCCAGGATGGTTTCAGGATTCAATGAGCTAACATATTCAGAACTCATAAAATAATGCCTGGTTCAAATTAAGTTATCAGTAAATGCCAACTGTTCTTCCTGTTAACCTGTGTTCCAACCATTTTGCCTAGGCTGCTCCATTCCTCATGGGCGTTCTGTGTCCTGCACTGAGAGTGAAGCTCTGGGAGAGGGAGGCTGGAATGAGGGACAATGGAGCTTCCTCGGAAGACTTTCTCTTCTGGCCAGGAGTGACACCTAAGCTGTCACGGGTGAAAATGCTTGCTGAGGGAAAAGTGAGAATGACATTTGGTGACTGGGCTTGAAGGAGCTAGAACCACTGACTCTTTGACTGGCCCATGACTTTCAGGAGCCTGGCTTCTTGGTCAACCTTGGCAAGATTAAGACAGCAAGCCATTTTCTGAGCTCCTGGACAAGCCTGGAGCTGTTGGGGCTCTGCTGGATGAGGTCTGCTTTCGCGCGGAAGGCCTGCCCTGTGGCTCCATAAACCCAGCCATCGTCACTGTGCATGGATCCTGCTTGCTTTGGGGGACAGGAGTTAGATCCAGTGTTAGGGGGTAGGGGCGGGCATGGGGGTGGAGGGTGGGGTGGCAGCAGAAACCCCGAATCTACTTTGGAGACAGTTGAGTCATGGCAGGTTTCCTAAAGATAGGGAACAGAATTAAAATAAGAGGACTTTTAAATGTGTTTCTGATTTTAGTCTGTTTTAGACCTCAAGTAAAATAGTTTAGCTCCTAGGACTTTAGGTTCCTCATTTGTGAAACTTAAAAATATTCTTGTAGGTATTATTATTATTATTATGTGTGTGTATGTGTGTATATGTGTATCTGTGGGTGTTTAAACCGCTCTACATAAAAAAATCTTAGAAATAAAAAATAAAAACACTTACTTTTCACAATTTGCTCACGTGTGAGTTCATTAAAGGTGGATGGTCCCATTGGTACCACAACATTCTTGGGTACAACCCTTTTATCAATCTACCTCAACCTGTTGGCCAGATACACAGGAGGCCCAGGAATGTAATCCTACCATGTACTTATAAGGTGAGGACCTGGAAATATTTGGCAAACAGCACTACTTTCGGGCATGCTCATTGAAATTTCTATTGCCAGTTTTGTTTTAAGCAGCCAGCCAGTCGGTAGGGCTGAAAATGGCCGTGTGTGTGTTGGCGGGGGGGGGGGGGGGGGGGGGGGGGGCAATTTGATCAAAGCAGAAGTTATAAAGGCCATTCACCCCTTTTTCACAACACACACACACAAGTACCTCTTTGCAGGCCTGCTTTCAGAACCTTTAGTGTTGGTAGTTTAGAAACAAGATAAGGATTGGTTTCAAATCAAATAGTAATTATTTTCGTGAGGAAAATTTTGAGTCAACTTGACATAGTACCCCTTTCATAAAATTAAAATAAATTATTTATATTGAGGGACATGAATCTAACTTCTATATTTGTAAAAATTTCCTGAGCATTAATTTATTGGCCCATATTTCCTTTTTGACTCTAGCCAAATGAGTTATGAAAACAAGTTTTACTTCTCTCAACCCCCTGAGATTTAGAAATTCCAGAGCATCATGTAATTCCAAGCCAAATATTTGCCTTTAGTTTGGTAGATTTACTTGGTATTGTATCAAGGTCAAATTAATAATTTCCTATGATAATAGCATTTAGTCTCCTTTCTTTTCCATATTTTCCCAAGCTCTCCATCTTTTTAGTGCATATTAGGGGAACTATCATGCTGAGTAGTCAGTTCTGCAATAAGAGAACACAAGCATTTTTA